AAGTGCTGTGTTCAATGCTGTTAGTGCCGTGAACTATTTATCGCCCTTCTCATGCATTTCCCTAGGCTGACTGTGCCTAGGAAATGGTTTCCTCCAGGACAAGATGCTCGGAATTCGCCATCTCTCCTGAGACATTTTCAGCAAACTTTCAAACCTACGACATTATTTCATTCGTCAATCTCCACCACCCGTCGGCTCACCTGGCTTCAGAAGATGTTACGAGAGATAGGAGAGTCGCCAGGAAGCATCTCATTCATCTTCAGGAAGTGGAAAGAGCAAACGGCATGGTCCTTGGTTGGGGGAAATGCTGAACGTCTGATTTGTCCCAACCAAGATTTCAGCATTTTGTTCGTCACTATTTTCGCTTGTCTGCTGGTGTCTCCGCACTCCAGCTTTCTCCTGTCGGTGTCACGTCCCAGTACACAACCGAGAGGACTACTAACAAACAGTTTACTGCACTAACAGCATTGAACACAGCCCTTCTTTCACTTCGTGAATACAATAAACCAATTGAAAATGACCAAATTCTGCAGTGATCGACCTTCTCTGTGGTGGAGCTAAGCCTTTCGTACGTCATCACTGCGCTGGTCGCTATGGCAACGTGAGTATACAATTGGCGATTTGGCAAGTTTGGCTTATCGTATGAAAGCGAGAGATATGCCATTCGAACCGATATCGAATTGTCTTTCTTCTGGACCATACTCGAAAAATCGATGCACTTCCCCTTTAATTTATGATCCTAGCCGTTGTCTTTGATAGCGCTATCTTCTATAGTAAAATGTAAAAGCCGGATTCTTCACACGGAATGATGCCTTGATGGATCGTTCATCAGTTTGAGGGAAAGGAAGTCACTTTTTAATCACATGGGAACGAGTTATGAAGCAACTATTCACGACTGTAAGTGTAACAGGATAATAAGCAGTCAGAACGTGCGATAACAGGGCACAAAACTCACAGGCTACTGAGACATTCAACGACCTAAGTAAGACCTAACTCTAACACATATCCCGTGTGCAAACCAACCGCCTTCCAACTTGGAAGGTTCAAGGTTGGGTGGGACCAAAGAGGGGAAGGTGAGCGCAGCGGAAATGTGCACAAGCTACTACTGAGTCCCACGGCAACAACGAATGCTGACTGTTAAGGTGGCAGTCTGGGTTCAGAGGGTCAAAAAACAAAGTTTCGATTTTCTGTATTTTTTCACTGGCAGCGTCTTGTGTATGGTCCAAAGGGTTTATCCTGAAAATTTGAGCGTAATCGGGTGCTTCCTTCCGGAGATAGAGCCGCGCAAAGTCTGCACAATTGTTTTTGAAATACTGAAATATCAGCAAATTTCTACAAAATTTAGGTTTGCACACTATTCCGATTTTTACCGTCAATCTTTGAGCGATTTCATTAAAATTTTCTGGAGCGACTCCTGGTACTCCTCTGCGCTGCAGACCAGGGGTACTACTCCCTGCTGCAGACTGACAGCCGCGCACGATGTTTGTCACCATGGCAACCAAGATAACTTTTGCGCATGCGCAAATTCAAAAAAATTCAAATTTCGACTCTCATGATCTCAGCTGATCGCTCTGCTGTTGAAACTAGTTACTTTTGGAGTAATTGTTTTGGAGTAATTGTTTCTTGGAGCTAACCCCTTCGTTGGCTACTATGGGGAAGTCTAGAGCCAAGGGAAAGCCCGGACGATCTAAGAAAAGGAAAAGAACGTTCTATGGAGTGTCTCAGGCGCCGAAGGCTCCCTCTGGTGAAATTTCGCCTGCAAAACAAATTCCTGACTTGCCACTGTCTGATGACGACCTTGAAGTGTCAGCTGAAGCCACGTCTTCAAACAGCGATAGTGATGGAAGTGGCGGTGAAGTCGACAGCAGTTCCTCCGACAGTGACTTGGATGAAGAGTGTGAGGAAGGGGCGCATGGATTTCGCCTGATTGATCTCGAGTGCCTTCAGCAGCTTTTGTCAGCTGCAGTTTGTTGCAGTGGCTGTAATGGCGCAGTCACGATCAGCGAATCGCAACGGGGAGGCCTTGCATCATGCCTGGAGCTTTCCTGTGTTAACTGCGGCGACATAGCAAGCGAATTTATGTCCAAGAAGTTCAATCGGGTCTGGGAGGTGAACAGACGAGCAGTATTCGGAATGCGACTGATTGGCCGTGGACGTCAATCAATGGTAAAGCTGGCGGGTGCACTGAATATGCCATCACCTATGAGTCGGTCGACATTTTACAGCCATGCTAAAGGCCTGCATTCCGCGTCCAAGAGCGTCGCTGAGCGTAGCATGACTGAGGCAGCTGAGAAAGCAGTGTCCGCAGCAGATGGGGGTAGCGATATCGCTGCTTCCTATGACGGTACCTGGATGCGCCGAGGATTCGCATCGCTCTTCGGAGCCTTCACTATAATTGCATATGATGTCGGCAAAGTGGTGGACTGCGAAGTGCTTTCAAAGTTTTGCCACAAGTGCACGCACTTGGCGTCTAGAAAAGAGAAGGGAGAGCTAACCAAAGATGACTATGATCGACAGATTGCCGAACACGATTGCTCAGTCAACACCACTGTATCAGCTCCTGCCATGGAGAGTGCAGCCGCCAAGACTCTGTGGGCCAGGTCCTTTGAGAGCCGCAAGCTGAGGTACACCACCTACATTGGTGATGGAGATACCAAGAGTTTTAAGGCTGTGCGTGACGCTTGTCCGTATGGGCCCGAGGTGCCTGTAGTCAAGGAGGAATGTGTCGGCCACGTTCAAAAACGCATCGGTACCAGCCTAAGAAAGCTGAAGAAAAACCTTGCGGGCAAGAAGCTTGCTGATGGGCGCACTATAGGCGGACGTGGTCGCCTCACGGATGCCATGATCGACAAGCTGCAAGCCTACTATGGCATGGCTGTGCGGAACAACAGCGGAGACTTGCAAGCCATGGCCAGGGCCATATGGGCATCCCTCATGCATCGTGCATCCAGCGACAGTAAACCTCAGCACCAGTATTGTCCGCCTGGAATTAACAGCTGGTGTAGATGGCAGCAGCAACAGGCAGGTGGTGATGTCTACGCCCACCACAATATCCTGCCAGAGGCAGTATGGAAGGAACTGAAGCCGGTCTACATTCGGTTGTCCAACCGGAGTTTGCTCGAGCGCTGCCAGAAGGGTGCTACGCAGAATCGCAACGAAGCGTTCAATGGACTCGTGTGGCAGTTGTGTCCAAAGACAGGCTTTGCATCCGCTCCCACTGTCCAGATGTGCGTCTACCTGGCCGTGGCCTGGTTCAATGATGGAGGTGTGGCAGTGAAACGCGTTCTGGACGAGATGGGCCTCCCTACTGGACACCATACGACACGTCTCATCAAGCTGCTAGACCGTGAGAGACAGGCACATGCTGCCAGAAAGAAGTCAGAAGAAGGGAAGAGGTCACGAAAGAAGCGAAGGAGGATCAGGAAAGGCATCCAGGATGAGCAGCAAGAGGAAGAAGGTTTGACATATGAAGCTGGTGGCTTCGACTAAGTTCTAGTAAGTTCTAGTTGGACAGACATACCTCCATCTGTACTTGCACAGAGCACTTTTTTTCTCCATTTTCCACTGAGTCCCGTACCTCTTAGACAGCGTAGCGAAGAACCTGTAAGTCACAGACCCCATAAACCATACATTTTTGGAAACTGTGAGCATTTATCAAGGTGCTAAGTGTCATGGATTTTTATATTTGTCTAGTAGCTTTGAGTAAAGTGCTACTGATCGAGGACCTAAATTTTGCGCGATTGCATGATTTTTGTTTGACAGCTTGAGTACTTTGTTCTGAATATGATTTCAAAATTCCGCTCCACTTAGCACCTAGGTATATGTGAAGGAAATCCTGTGGAGCACTCAGTTTCTACCCAGCTTCTTTCTGCGTTTGCATATTGCGTCTAAGGTATTGGTGGTACGGCATAATCGCAGATTTGACTATTGTGTCTGCGGATTCCCATGTGTGAGCTTGATTTATACTTCATTGGACTTAGTGAAATACACTGGGTATGTGGTCAAGATTTGAGCAAAATTCATCAATTATTATGGAAGTTACGGCTGTGTTCATGCGGTCGGGCCGCGAACCCAGACTGCCACCTTAAAGGACGATGACGAGACCAGTTAAAAACATGACAATGCGATCTAACTACAATTGGAAACAGCAAAGCAACACACCACCCAACCGGGTGGGTCATCAATATCAGAGATGAAGGAAAGGGGAAGCTTTGCGTAAACGATGCATGCTGGCTGCATGCCAAGTGTGCAGTCCGTATACAGCATGCACCGTCTCCGACTCTCGACCCCTCTCGCTTATTGTGCAACGGGTCTATTTCAACGGTACTTGCTCACCATAAAACATGTAGCCATTATTCCACAAAGGCAGAAGAGATTAGAGGAGAGACAACCGGCTAGATCATTGTTGTACTAATGCCGTGTTTCATGCACACACATGTATCTGATAATCTGTACAGTACATCATCTGGCTACAAACTAAATTACTTCCATCCAGACAAGTAGTAAAGTGTGACATTAAAGTTACATTAACTTTTGTCAGTATCTAAAACTTGGAATCATGTTGCTGGTGTGTAATGTGGGCCAGAGAGCGCGTTTGGTGAAGGTGGAATTACTTCATGTTAAAGTTGCATGTCACGTGATGTGGTGAGAATTGGCGCAGATGGTATCAAGTGACATGAGAGGTGAAGAGAAGGAGAGGTGAGAACTATTCCAACATAAACAGCGCCACACCATGCACCAGTGCTAACTAAACTTAGTGGAGCCCAGCTATGAATAACACGGTAATGACTGTATTTGCTGCGTTGCATGCAGAGAGGCATACCTGGACTCTCTACAGCTGACAGGATAGAACACCAGGAAGAAGTTTGGAGAAATCGCGCTATGTCGGATAGGAGTGTGGTGTAAATAGGTATTGAAGACTTGGCGCTATACGCTATGTCGGATGGGAGCGTGTCAGTATGGTGTAAATATAGAGAACATACACCAGTTAACAATGGTGGGAAGCTTCAGGAGTCCTTCGTTGCAACCCTGAGTTTCATGGCAAATGTGCGCATCATGAATGGATGCTTAGAGTAGTAAGAGTGCATAGCAATACTAGATACCACACAGATGACAGAACTTTGCGGTTCATACTGAATGCGCAAGCACTCAGAATACCGTGAAACTAATTTAGGTGCTGTGATCTCCAGTCGGTTGCTCTCTTTAATGCATTTAGCGGCATTCAGTAGTAAAAATTAGGTTCTAATAGTCAATTAACAGAGTGCACTATTGCTTTGGCGATATGGAGAGAGTGTAGGGTTGAAAACTATCATAATAGAGAGGTTTTGCATTCCGAAATTCGGCAAAAAGATTCGGCACGCGGGAGCGAGAGCGAAAATGCACACGAAGATTCGGCGTGTTTGTTCGGAAAAAGCTCACTTTGCCGAAAATATTTTTCGGATGCATTTTCTTGTAGAAGAGCGCTAGCGCGTGATTTATTCAAAGAGGTTTCTTATCTCGGCCTCGCTTGGCAGGCGTCTTTATCGTCAGCTACCTCTGATTGCTCCTCTCCACTGCCTGTCGACTCTCTTTCGCCTGGAGTGTCCTCACCGTCAATGGTCCGTCATCTGTGTGGCTGAAAAGACTATGGCGACACGCATAAAATTTGACTTGGCCATGGAGTTGCCAGTTGGTGTTTCTGAGGCGACTGAGGAGGCAGGTTTGGCCCTCGACTCTTTGGGCGACCAAAGTTCGTTGGAATCAGCAAGAAAAGGAGCACGGGACAGGACGTTGCTGATGCTGGGGCTCACGAAATGAAAACACATCATTTTCGACTTGCAAAACAAACGTTGGTGCGAAAATTCGACATTTTGATGTTCGACAAATGACCGAAGAACGCTGTACCGAAATTCGGAATGCAAAACCTCACTATTATTATTATGGGAAATTGTTTGGAAATGGCCAGGGAAGCATAGGTAAAAAAAAATATTTGCGACCCGCAAAGAAGAATTGTAATCAAGCAATATGATCAGTTGTAGGCTGAGTTTGTCCTTCTATACCTGTGTAGATTGCATGCACTAATCTCAAACAATAGGGCTGAGAGTTTCACTGTGAGATTTCAAATTCGTCAAGGAGCAAATGGTTATTTTCTATCCACCGCTTGAGCTAAGAACCTGGTGGAACCTGGTGGTAAGAAAGTCATAACGTACTGGTCAGGGTCGGTGTGGTGCTGTTCAGGGTAAGTATGGAATATCAACCGCTCTGTGACACATCACTCTCTGGCGCAATACTATACAACGTCATGAAGTTGACCAATATCATAGTAATTTAAAAAAAGCTAATCATTCTCAGTTGCGAGGCCCTTCATGACGTTGACCACCATTTGTGTACACTCAGCTACAGTGTGTGATACCAGTACAAAGATGGTTGTGACGATGCAGATGTTGAGAATTGGATTACCCTCAACCAGGACAAGTAGACTACGTGTATCATTAGCCAGCAGGACGTGATACTGGGCGATGAAAAGCTGCAGCGGAAAAGGAGAACAGTGGCGATCCGTTAGTTCCCAGGAATAATACGTTCTTGTTCCTCTGCTCTTTCCTGTGCATCACCTGAAGAGAAGGCTTGAAAGTATACTCATAAACAAATATTCAATATGCTTTATTGAAGAACCAGAGGTGTCTTCTCTTTCTTAGCATTTAGAATTGTTTTCTCTGAGGAAATTTACGGTTCTTTGTTTGAACATAGCAAAACACAGGATGGTACTGGAAGGAACTTGACGGCTAGGCATTCCAGAATACCAGCTTACCTCCAAAGAGTAGATTCCCACCCAGTCAAAGAACTGACTGTAATGCTTGCGTAGTGGTTCCCACGTGTTACGCACCAGAACAAATCCTCCCAGCTGTGAAGATGTTGGCAGAACGGCACACATTGAACATTGGTACATCTGCTGAGCAATAGCATGCGTTGTCACCGTGCATGTATTTTATCAGAGCACAACAATGGCCAGCCTGATACGTGAATAATGCTGGCATTGATGAACCAATCAGTCACATCATCATTATGCATTTTTAGTATACTGTTGTTGCTTACCATGATTGGTGATAGGTAGGTATGTACAAGATTACACTCTGGTTTACTAGTACAGTTTGTTGCCATCATTCCACAGTACACTACCTGTACAGGAGAATAGGCATGGTCATGAGGAAGAAACAATGGTGACAGCATTGAAATCAGAAAAGTATTCAAAGTACACTGTCACAGTGTGCAGCGATCAGAATACTAGACAATCGTCTTGAAATTAGGACAGAAGCAGAAACCTTGATTTAATATCTTGTCTACGCATTCATCTACGCAAGTAGACACCGCCAGCCAATTAGGACATGTCATAAAACTTGGTATTGACCGTCTTCATTCCCTTCTTCAGACAACTTTTCTTTATCTTTATAGTTGTACTTTGAAGTAGTCCCTTTAGTAAATTTCCTTCATTCCCAGTAGCTTTTTGAGAAGGGACGACACCGTTCAATACTTATGACATACCGGTATCCTAACTGGCAGGTGGTGTCACATAACTATGCCTGTAGTCTGAACCGTGTTCCACGAATTGCTATGTGTACAGGAAAATGCGTCATATTAGCCAAATTACCAGGCCATGATCCATTCGGATGTCATTTATAATGTAGCCAGCATGTGTTCCAATGAAACTAACACACAATCGAGTAGTGCATACCAATGTCACAGCTGAAAGTATGGTCATCAAGTTGTTACCAATACTCCTTGAACATATCCACCCATTGATTTGTGGGAATCGATGTAGCATTACGGCACACAGGATACCCGATGGCACAGCCAGGACGTCTAGTCCAAAACGAAATGTCCACTCGTGAAGGGAAATGTCATCATCCAGGAAGAGTTGGGAGAGCGGTGGGAAGGATATTATCCAGTTGAACATATCCTGTGTGCAATAGAATGATGAACTGTCAAACTCAGTACTAGTGTAGACTTTATAGATACGTAAGCTTTGCTAGATGGTTTACCATGTCCTCTGACTTGTGATATACTGTCAGCGGCATACTAGTACAGACGTGCAGTTTCATACCAAAACTTGACACTTTTAAACTGTTCCTAACTGACTGATGGAGGAGTCCACAATTATGGAGGTGCTCCTTAAAGGCATATTGCGAAACTCCATGACAACGGCCCATGGTAACAGGGGAGCTGTTGGGTATAGAATGTTGCACTCCACTATCATAGCAAGCTGAGTAAGACCAGACATGTAAGTCTGCATGATTTCCATCACGAGTACACCACTTTTGACATAGTTGCTAGCGCACCGACCGGATCAAGTACACTCATCCTCGGTTATCCGGACTCCGAAGTTACGGGCATCTTGGTCTACCGGGCACCCTTTGGGCGAGTTTCAGTTGAAATATTACTACTTTCTTGTCACTTTTTGTGGAAATAGTGACGTCATATACCATATCTATGGCCTTTCCGCATCAATGTGTATGTGATTCAGAGAGACGGATATTTCAAAGTTCCGGGCAGTGCCCGAACCCGGACTGCCCGGATAAATAGGGTATGAGTGTACAGCCATTTTGACAATTGTTTAAAAATACTGGCACATAACCAAAGCACTCGACAAAGTATCGCATTTTCTGCCGTTACGTTGACTTACAAACGAACCTCATACATCTTGTGTACTGTTTCAGTGGTGCTTCAGGTAGGTAAAAATAAACAAAAACTCATTTTCGACCCTTCAATTCAATGCAACGGGAATTTCAGATAATGATCGTTCGGATAGTTGACGTTAAGGTAATCGGCATTCGACTGTACCTGTGGTAACAGATTGACACACTGCATGAGGTGATTGTGACAAAGGTAGACACATCCTAAGTTCAATTCTGACCATATGCGGGTGTTACTGTGACCTTTCAATGCCCCCCCCCCCCCACCCCCGACATTTCCTTGACAAAGCATGCACACCAAGGAACATTCAGACCCATACAGGATTATGGTAAAGTGAACTGCATCCGTACTCACAGGTTGTACTCGATACAAGGCGACAACTAAAGTGAAGCAGATTGCCTTGAGCACCTGCATCCATGGTGACTTGTTCTGATCCCATGCTGAGGAATACATAAACACACAAACACATTTGGTGCAGCGCACGTGAAAAGAGTACTTAGCTGCACTTTAAATAGAACAGGGGAAAGGGCATTCAAAGTTTAAACTTGATAACACTTGTGGCTAAAAAATGGGGCACTAAAACCACCCTGCCAGCATCATTTGCTGAGAGATTTCCATCTGGGTGTTTGTCTGAAAACTGAAGGGGCTGGCTACCAGAGGGGCATGGTAACTCAAAACCCCAAATGTTGACCCTCACCACCCTTTCACATTCTCTGCACCATGTAACGATATGAGGACGACCAGAAATTGTTAAATCATGTTGATTATTACATCAAATACCAGTGTGGAACAGTTTCAAGAGGCCTGGTGCAACTTTCTAGTGTAAGCCTGAGATTGTTTCTGGAACTTATTATCAATGCATCCAGAGATTTGACGAGAATTACGAATATGTAAGTTGGGCCAAAACTGTCCCCGACCTACTTTTAAAACAATATACTCACCAACTGGAGGTATGGCAGCAACCAGTAGTACTAGTAAGTAACATGCTGAGATCAGTGGTACAAAATAGTAGTGAAGATACGGTACATCCATAGTCAAGCACAGTAGAACGGTGTAGAGATTTAGACGGAACAGGACCTCAGCTACACGAGACCAACTGCTTGCTCCACGCTTCAAACCATACGTGTAATGTCCAAAGGCGCTTAGGAAGATGTACATTGCCACAATCAGTCGAGCCACATAGTATAAACCAAGGATCTGTGCAAAAATAGAACACAATGCAACATCAAAATACTTTGATTTTTGCTTGTATAAATTTCCGAGCTGGTGGACATGTCAAGACCGTCTACACACACAGTAGCAATGGAAAGAGCCTGAAATACCGTAAAATTCCGTAAATAAGACCCGGGCGTATACTTTGCAGAGCGTCAAAAACCGGGCGTATATTTGGGCATGGGCTTATTTTAGGGCATGGGCGTTATTTCGGACGCAATCTGCAGAAGATCAATCTATCAGCAACCCACTAGTTACACCACCATTCACACTGAGCGCGGTACAGGTACATCAAACCACATTTCTTGTTGCATCTTTTGGCAGTTTGCTACATTCCAAGGGAACATCGCTGTCCTCGCGCGCCGTGACAGTGTTGAGTTCTGCACTGTGCTATGTACAGTTGGATGGCACGCACTCGATCTACAACTGTTCTACAGTTTGTACGCGAAGGCACGCTCGCGCGCTGGTCATTTGAGTCCACTTTACGCCCTGGGCTTATTTCGGGCATGGGCGCTAAAACGGACTTGAAGTGTATACCGCCTAAACTGGGCTTATTATCGGACATGGGCGTTATTTAGGGTGGGCTTATTTACGAAATTTTACGGTACATGATGTAACTTTTGGCTCTACTCTCGTGATATTGGGCACTTTTTCTAGGATTTAACAACATAGTTTTTGCAGACCCTCAGCCGACGCATACACTGCGAATGGGAACTCACAAATATGTACAACATTGTGACTAGACACATGCATGTGATAAACAATTAGGGAGATTTGCTCACTACACATACATGTCGACTCATCACTTGATTGGGAGCAGTCAGAACTTAAAAGATATGTCATGACCATAGAGTTGTCCTTTTGCTGAGAGGCTCCCACTACGGGAGGTTCTACTAGTAGTTAGTCTAGTACCTACACTATTATTATAACCTACCTTGCTACCACCTGTGTAATGATACACCAGCAATACTAGCTGCATCCATCCTCGTGTTTCACAGGTTTGCTGACGATTTAGAACAGAAGCATCTTTGACTGGTTGATATGTCACAAAGCCAAGAATTCCCAAAATTGCCAATGGAACGGCAAATGATGTCCAGTTGAAATGTTTCTCCTCTTTCGTGAATACTGGTGTCCTGTCAGCTAAGTAGGTGTAGAGAAGCACTATTCCAAGCAATGTGATGCACTGACAGATCATCACAACGGGTGATGAAGTATTGCGCTTTAAACCTGTAATACACGCATGCACAGAAGAGGGAATTTTCAATTAGATTATGCAGTAGTGTAGAGAACATGTAAACGTGTACATGTAGTTGAACGTGTTCGATTCAAAATCTCGACATATTGAGGCCATCTCTCCAATATCCTTTCTCAGAGCATACGTGATTCATTGAGAAACACGCAGGTTTTAAGGTCTCACAAAGATTACACTATGTCCAAGTCTAGCAAATCCAGCACAAGGTGCCATACAACACAATCATGTACACTGCATATAGAAAAGCCATAGGCTGCGGTCAAAATAAATACTTTAATCAAAGCTACAGAGCAGCAAAGCACCATAGACCAAAGTCTTTTTTTCGTTACTCCGAGTTTCGTGTTTAAAACACTCATCAGGCTGTAATCATTTCCAACTGTTCCCTTGCTATGAAGTGATGCAGGTATATCATGGCTGAGGTGCGCTGCTCCTTTAAAGATTGAAGACATGTGCATGTTGGACCTGATATGCAGTCAATCCCCTATACCTGGTCCAAGCCCCTATATCTAGTCATATCCCCTCCATAACACATGTCCAGATGTCCAGTGGTTGCTGAAACAAAGTTTACCTGTGTTACCTGTATCACGGATAGAAGTCTGGCTCAGCGACCGGAATAGAGAACGTGAACATCGGTGCCTGCAACAGACTCCCCAGAACAGTATGACGATACTGGAATAGATCCAGGCAGAAACAACATTGCAGCCGTAAAACATAATGGAATACACACAGAACAACCACCAGCAATAAGGGAACTGTTGCTGCAGAGGCCAGTTAGGAGAAAGGGAATTAATTCGACGCAGTCACCTTGTTGCATTCACTATTCAATACAGAAGTAAGTGTACACATAACATATCTACTGCCAGTGTCTAGGCATTATTGTGATCAGACACATTTCAAATCCCTTCCTTCATTTTCACCTGACTAGTACATCTCGTATCCATGGTAACTAACCTGCATACAAATATAACCAGTAGCACAACCTGTGGAGCAGTAATTGAGTGAAGTAACCCTTGGCAACAGGTCTTCCTGTCAGTTACCGGTAGTTGTGAGTTACAGTGGACATTCAGGATGGCTTGGACGGTCTGTAGTAGTCCACACATGAAGTAAAATATCATGCAGAACAAAACAATTCTTACATGATTGTATACCTTTCTATACTGCGACTATAGCAGGTTAAGGCCTCTGTGCTAGTGTCCTAGCATAGTGCTGCTCAATGAAATACAGTCGATGCACTCATGTACGCGCCGGGCGTTGCGCTGCCCTAAACCTGCGAACAATGGGCTTCGAAATGGTGCAAGGCACAAACTTGAGTGTCGCGACTGGATTTCATTGAGAGGGACTGTACTTCACAATATGTATGTACTCGTATGTGTATGTAGGGGGGGGGGGGTGGTAGTACGTATATGTAGGGGTGGGTGGGGGGGGGGGGGGGTAGTACTTCTCTAACACAGCCAACTTTTGGGGCACGTATACAATGTATACATGCCCTGTATAATTATGTACATGTACGTACATCTTGAAATCTTTGATCAAGTCTCTCATACATGTCATGTACACGGATCCCTTTCGGTATTGGTAAAAGTATACATCATCATACCGCACTGCATGTAATCACTCAAGAAGCAGTATCACATCTGAGTGACACTTCCTCCATTCACACAAACAAAGGCAATAGTTGCACAACAACAATAGTGCCCAGAAACATGAATGAAGTGTAATGGCAAAGGAAGCGGCACTGACCTCATCAGTAGCATCTTCAGTGAAATGCACACCATCTCGGAGCAATGGGACATGACCAGGGTCGAACATAAACATGCCGGGAGTTCTGAAGCGCGGCCTGAACGGAGAAGACATGCAAATACACGGTCATACCGTTAATGCTCAATCATGACCGCCGTGCTGCAAATTATTATGATTTGCCAAGTCTTCATTCTAAACATCTGCAGTAAAACCTGGTTTAAGCGAACACCCCACGGTGCAAGCAAAAGCGGTCGTTAAAGACAGGTGGTCCTTAGAACCAGGTCCCACAGTGTCTGCGTAGAACTGTCGGTGCATGGAAAAAGGGTGGTTAATAGCAGGTGGTCGCTTACAGCAGGTTTTACTGTATGTGAGGGGGAGTGTCGGGAAATAACAAATTTCGGTTCGAAAATACCTGCTATTTGCGGACGGTCCTGGCAGACAATCACACTCACATTGTGCTTTGTGTGCAACATGAGCACAACCAACTGGGTTTGTGGCATTGCCTGCATCAAGTCCTCCAGTTCTGCCTAATCAAACAGTCAGTCATCAGCAAGAAGAGTGCTCGTGCGGGAATATGCATGGTTTAGATAGATGTGGGACTGCTCCCTTATCCGAACATTCTTCTCATCCGTACCCCCTGGAGACAGCCCGCGCCCTGAGGGGTGCGGATAATCGGCGCTCTGCTGCATGATGTTTCCACAACCTTCTCTGATATTCTCACATTGATACCCAGTTTCATGACATACAACAGGACACCCAGTGTTGGTTTCAGACCGGCTGATTTTCTAAACTCCTACTTGTGTCAGCCCCTGGGCCAGCACTCACCACACACTATCAACAGCGGCATTGAACATTCGGACACGTGCGTTGGTCATGTTACTCCTTCTTGGCCCAGGCACTGATTCGTTGACATTCGCTGCAGCATCAGCAAAGTGATTTCAGAAAAGTCAAAAACGCATACTACAATCGGTAACTGTAACAATTAACCCATATGCATTACCTTCACCCTACACACACCAGCTGACAGGTGGTTCAGTGCTACTCAAAAGGGATTTCCAGTGCCACCATGGGAAAAAAACGTAGTCTGCCAATTGTCATGGATCTCTTTATAACTACCAGCGCAACGGACCTGGGTATTATCACAGTCTCCAGGCAGTCATATTGATAGCGCGAGCAACAAAGAAATACTTTCTATGGCACGCACCGCAGACGACTCACCTTGCCGTACCCACACCAAGTTGGTATCTGATTCGCGTACCAGTGATGACGCCAGGCGAAGCACAGATTTCGTGTAGACTGCAATGACAAAACGGCATAGTCAGTTTTCTCGATGGAATTGTCAACACAAGATAAATTTGTTAAGATGTGTCTACACTAGTGCGTGGGCAGTGAGATTCAATCTAACCAAAATTGATCAGGGCCACCGAGAACTACGAACCAAAATGTGCCCTAACCGACTGTGTACACTACCAGCCACTGCCATGTTGAGTCTCAGAAACACTATTGTGTACCCTGCGCAAGGGCATAGAGCTGATCTAGTAAATAGGACAGGCCGCATTTATGCTCTAACAGTGCAGGGCCACATGTCGTTAAGGTGTGGTGTGGATAGATTAATACTAAGGTAGATGAGTAGACAGACAGACAGACAGACAGACAGACAGACAGACAGACAGACAGACAGACAGACAGACAGAATGAGACCGAGACAAGTAACTAAACTACGTGAACCTTAAACAGTGCCCATAGAGATCACATGGCTTACTGTGAAAGCAGGAAAAGATTCGCCAGCGAAATAGTCCAAACAGTCAAAGACTCACCGGCAACACAAACACAACCTCGTGATAACTTTATATTCCTACCTTGATATCTGGTGATTGGAGATGGGAATTATATGTATGGGGACTGTGTTAGTAATATGACAACTTGTACAAGGTCTAGTTTTCAAACATAAGGGTTCGTATTGGAGTAAGTGTCTAAGTTAAGAAATAGGAACAGTAGTGGACAAGTTGTTTGGAGTGTACGTGTTTGGCATACCTTTGTAATGGTCCAGTCCCTCCAATGATGGGTCCCTTCGTATCGTCCACTACAGGCGACAACACAAACAGAAAGCCCTTATCCTAGCCTGCTATGATTAGATCACACAAACATGTCATGTTGCAAATATGAGTCAGAAACTTGTAGGTAGATTACTACTATACTGTAGGAACTACACACAAATTGGTTTCTTGGCATCTGATAATTTAAATTCAAGTGTGGTGTATGCACATCACAGACCCAGTAATGCATGCTGTGTAGTGTAGATATCGATTACACGTAGGTCGCACCTGGAAGGCTATGCAGCCATAGCGTACATTCATGCTCTGCAGATATTATATTTGTGATATTTTGTATTAAATATTTATGTTTTTATTGGAAGTTAGAGAGTAGTTGGGTGGACACACCCATTCCCAAAGCACTGCAAACCGAACCAATTCCTTTACGTAATATTGTAAGTTAGTTTGACGCCAAGTAAACTCAAATCTGGTTGTGTTGGCATGTGCTCATGTTTAGCCTGTGATAAGAAACATAACACCAAGCACATTGTGTTGGTGGTTCTTTCAAGTGAGGTTCTGGCAACTCACCAATGCTGCCCCAGCCACAATTAAGTCCGCGCCATCCAATGGATTCTGCATGCCGCACATGGAAAATAGAAGCACATCACTTTACAGAACTAGGCAGTTCTGCCCTGTTAAGTCATGTACTGGTTAAGTACGAACACAGCACAATGACAGACTGTATGGGAATGTATATATTGAGTAGTACTGCTATTGCACCTCATTCCGCTCCTCATACTTAGAAATTTACCAATTCAAAAATACATCAGCAGCTTCACACTACACCACACCTCACCACACCTCACCACACCTCATCACACCACACTACACCACACCTCACCACAACGCACCACACTGCATCACACCACAATACACTGCAATCCGGTTCCTGGTCCCTGCGAATGACTGTACCCTGCTAGCACATGCCTTGCATCAGCGCCCAATCCGGTATTCAACCAACCCTCGAGATGAGCCAAAATTTCACAAATTACAACTGCGCGTATAGTGCATCCCATCAAGATCTTACCGGTATAACTAACTAAAAACAGGAGAAAACTCACCGATTTCAAGTACCTTAGCATGGCCAGCCATGACTTGCCAATATATGTGTCCCAAATAAGGAGCTGGCCGTGCACAGTGGTTAATAGACAAGATCACATCACACAGCACACGGCACACAGCACACACAGGACACAACACAAACAACACAGAACACACAGCACATAGCACACACAGCACACGACACACAGCCTCATTCAGCACTTAAAACAAAACTGTGAGCTACAATCACAGCATGGTGATTTAGCTGTAACCTTACACTGTTCTTTGTTTGGTCAAGGGTTATAATATTACGGTTGGTCTTTTCAATCCTTGTGGCCAGAGCATGACATAGATCCATGCCCAAGTCAAAATTAACATGCTTCCAGTTAAACTCTTTCAAAACAGTCTCAAATGGAGGAGTATCTTTCAAAGGGACTAGAAAGTTATGCAGCACATCGATCATTGAACGGCAATCCAGCTCACCACATGTACATTAGCATCCGCGATAATCGTCGTCTTGTTCCGATGCTGTACAACAACCATCAAATGACAATTGTAGAGTAGTTGTTAAAGTGTGCTTTGCATCCTTGAAGGTGGTGATGCGCCCACAGATGCGGACAGCTCAGTCTAACTGAGTGTCATGCGAGCCGTGAATTTTTTTAAATTTTACATCATCTTTTGCATAGCTGTAAGGAGTGTGAAGGATGCAGAAATCACTAACCACCATAGCACAGGCTGCAGGTTAAAGTACAATTTTAATCCAGAATTGAAATTTCGTCTTCCACTCATCAGCGGAGTATACAGAGCTGAGGTGGTGCAATGGACCAATGTCATGCAGTCGTATTTATTCAGCTTTTATTTCTTGTGTACTTGCATACTGGTATTAGTTTAGTCCCACAACCTGCGATAAAATGATCAGCTGTAGCACCTACTCCACTTTTATGTTTATGTATCTATGTCATTCGGATCTTCCCAAGTTGTACAATGTACTGTTGAGATACCAAATTCAAATAAATCACTACCAAAAAATAAATCAATACCATGGACCATAAAATATTCGCAGCTATTGAACGTGTGATAAAAGCGAACGGGTGAACATTACAATCATGGTTCAAACATCGAAGTCAGTCCAACAAATGTGCTCACGATTAGCATGCATAAGGTGATACTGGTCAGTGATAATAATGCATAGTGCCGCATGATAGTGCATAGTGCATAGTGTATAGTGCATAGTGTATAGTGTATAGTGTATAGTGGCGTTAAGTACACACGTGATTTGCAGAGAGCTACGAAAACAAGTTTAAGATCTGACATCACCTCTGACATGCATGTACGACTCACGCGCGGGTCTTTTCTGGGTTTAGCAGCTCGCTTGCTGAGCTCTCGTTTTGGATTCGGGTCAAGCAACACTATCAATCTTTCCTGGAGTGCCCGGATCCGAGAATCACCAATAAAAAGAACTTTTGAATTGCGCAAACATGTCTTAGCTGTTCTGAATGCAAACATGGGCAGAAAATACACAATAGAAATTGGTAAGAAGACCATGCTAACTCAGTGCAGGGCATGGTTACATTCACTGAAGAGTACATGAGCTCCCAAGAGTGTGCAACTCTGGATAGCCTTTCGATGAGGTCCGCCAACACTGAACCTTCACAACATGTGGTATAGTGTTCATGTTAAACACTCCCAGCCTGTTTATAGTTGATAGTAAAAAGAGAACCAACTTGACAGACCCCCCCCCTCTCTCTCACACACACACACACAGCTTATGCATCAGTAGCATGCCGGATCACGGCAGTTATCAGGACTGCACACACCCTGGCCTATGCTGTATAGAGTACAAAATGTAATTTGAACACGTGATGTGAGGTTTTGCCGCCGAAGACCCCGTAAATAGAGTCGCGCACTCTTGGGAGCTCATTTGCTCATTATTCACTGCATAGCAACACTTAGATCATGTGATGATTGCAGTTTACATCAAATTTTTAAATAACCGACGAGGAGACAACAGTCGTAAAATAGCAATGAAAATTATCAATTGTGCACTCATAACCATGTATAAACAATTAAAATGAAACAATTCCAGAACGTTTTCGTGTGACCATCATCAGTGGAACATCGTCACATAGTAAGAATCACTAAAACAACCAGTTATATAGCTAGAGTAATATGAAAAGAAGCGTGAGAATGCAGCACAGCTAGCGGTTATGCATAACGCGTGTAGTGTGAACCTTTGCAGTGTATCTGAGAATGGTAGCAGTAGATGAATGTGGCAGCTGTGAGTGCGTGTGAACAAAAACTGGTGAGTGCGTATTATTTAAAAAGTGTGAGTGCTACAACATTTTCTTTTCTTTTTTTTCCAGGAGAACGAAATGAAAATGGAGGAAAAACGAATCTGAGGAGAAGCCAGAGACTAGCGGAGACACGACTGAGAAAAATGAAGAAGGCGGAACCAGTAGTGGCAGGTGAAAGTACGGGCGCAGCAGTGAACACGTCAAGGAGAAAGAAGCGATGGCATGAGGAGATGGAGACGGAGGATGATGATGGGGATGAACAGGATGGTCAGGAGGAAAGCAAGGGTGAGCAGGAACAGGAAGTGGAGGATGAGAGTGATACGGACGAGAAGGAGTTCGACATCGACAAGAGCAAGTCTGCCATCTACAAGCATTTGGTGTCCAGTCCGGATTGTCGTAAGTTGTTTGACGATTCCTGGTTTAGTGTTATTTGTCGCGCGCGTTTCTTTAAGCAGTTGCAGGTGTTGGAAGCTGTATATATTCGCACACGTGACCCTGTTCTATGCAAGCAAAAAGAAAATGTTGTAGCACTCACACTTTAAAAAAAAAGACGCACTCACCAGTTTTTGTTCACACGCACTCACAGCTGCCACATTCATCTACTGCTACCATTCTCAGATACACTGCAAAGGTTCACACTACACACGTTATGCATAACCGCTAGCTGTGCTGCATTCTCACGCTTCTTTTCATATTACTCTAGCTATATAACTGGTTGTTTTAGTGATTCTTACTATGTGACGATGTTCCACTGATGATGGTCACACGAAAACGTTCTGGAATTGTTTCATTTTAATTGTTTATACATGGTTATGAGTGCACAATTGATATTTTTCATTGCTATTTTACATCAAATTTTGTTGATTTTTTGACTTGGTGTCAGAAAATTGTGAGAAGTGGTGTAATGTGCGCAGGTACAATCATGTCACCGTTTTCTATTTCTTTCAACAATTTCTTCTCTTACTTGTAGCATCACTACCACAATCATGATGGTTAACTGTTTGTCGTATTTGCTTTGTTTTCCTAGCTTTCCATTGCCGTGGCTGGCTCAACGCCCTTGTCTCAGGGGATTCTGTCCCTGCATCAGCTATGCTTGTCACATGTTATGAGATTGTGTTTAATAATAATAGTAATAGTCTGTGTAGAATCCTTGCAATATGGCTACGCCTGAGCCTATTGCAAGGATTCTACACAGACAAACAGCCTACACCTGTTTAGCCCTCTCTAACAGTCTCCTATTTCCCCGACTACGGTAAATGTTTCTCTTTCCGTTTCCTGACTGTGATAAAGTTACTTATGTATTAAAGTATCATGTAATTGCGGCAGTAGAGTTATACAACTTAGTTCTGAATGCCAAGATAACATACTGGCTGTCAAATTGCCTGGGTGTGCAGTCCAACTGGTTGTGTTGTCCTTCTTCTCTACCAACTGTGTACCCATTCAGTATGCAGTCGCACTTGCTCTTGTCTGCAGAAATAAAAGAGAATGTAGGGAGCACACACGCATATGACCAATAGCTTTGTCAGTCAAAATAAAAATTAATTAAATCAATTTTATGGGCAGTGCAGGATATTTTCTCCAAGATACTTATTATTCCGGAAACACCCGCTGATATGACAAAACGCATCTTACCTCTGATCATGGTCTTCCACTGGTGTCGCTGTGTGATGAGGTAAGCCACCACATACACCATAGCCAGTGATTTCATTAGCTGAAGGAGTCTGGCTGGGGGCAGTGGTAACCATTCTTCACGATTGCCTTGTACTCCAGAAGGCATTGGCTTGATTGAACTTGCGCCTGGAGTGCTTAGCTGAACTGGAAGGCCATGGTTCGCAGCTGTGTTAGGAGGCATCGTTGGTCCAGCTAAGACGAAAGAAAGTAGATCTACCACAAAGTAATTAGTTGGCACCTAACAACAACTCATCCCGATCAGGACTGAGCAGCTAGTACTGCGCTACTAGCATGTGAATAAACCCGTTCTCAAATAGTAGCATAGTATACTTTTTTAATTAGGCTGTAACAGGATGAAGTGCAACGCCAACAATCCGACCTCGAACCGATGTCTGCATAGATCTACGACCCACACTCACAAGCACGAGATACCAGTGCAATGCTGCAGCTCTAGACTAGTCAAGAAGAAGAACTACAAAAGTAATAGGTGCATGGGATGAGTCGAGCTAGGTCGCACATCCACGTTACCACCTGCCATGTGTTTGCCAACACAGCCGACAAATAGGAAGTTTTTCGGCGATGCCAGGCCACCACCATGGCTGCTGAAGCGCCGAAGGTGGCAGTTGAACTACTTGAAGCGCCGAGGGTGAGGTGGTAAGTGTTAGTCTCACAACCAAATGCCCGACCACTGGCCATAGTTTCGTTAGCTGCATCCAATGGCGATAACAGCCCTGACTCCGACCGTGGATGTCGGCGCAGTTCACTCTGCACACCGGAAAAGACGGTTAGATGTTCACGCTGCGTTATCGTGTTTGTTAGCACGCACTAGAGTCTACATGTTCCCGAGTGTACACCGCTCCTGGCTAGTGAGTGAACTACTGCTTCCATTCTTTCATCGCCATTGACCTAGCGGAGGCATGCAACCACTAACTGTAGTTCTCATCACTGCGAAGGCAGGTAATCTCTCAGTCTCAACCCTTACTGCCTTAGGCCTTACTTTGGCCTTAGCAATGAACCTAGTAAATCTACATGACTGCTCGTGGCTACTGCCTGGAGTCCTAGCAACAATTAGGTACAGTGAGTTTATCGTGTGGCGTCTGTGTAAAATACAACTACCCTCCTGGCCTCTCTTGTGCCGTTGTGGAGCCGGAGGGTTGCCTTCGCCTTTAGACTTTTACTTTTAGTAGGCTTTACATGGCAGTCTTGGGTAACGGTTATTATCAAGCTTTTGTGTTCAATCTTACACTTCGAGAGTCTGAGTATTCTATTGCCGAATTTGGGTTGTCGTTTTGCTTTGGTTCTTACTTCATTGTTTCACGCATGCATAATTGGCTTTGTGAATAAACCCGTTCTCCAGTTACCATTGTGACTGCTTCTTGCCCCGTCTGCGAGTCTAGACTTAAATCTTTTACTAGTAAGTTTTACTTTTACTTAAGTTTTAGAGACAGTTCTCTAGCTCTGGTTCTAGTTCTGGAGTTGTTTCGGTGTAACCATGGCAACCATGCACAAATTAATTGTGACTATTGAACAAACTCTGAGCGAGGGAGACAGTCTCCACTGCACGCCTGTAGCTTTGCATTTTTAGTTTACAGACGGTTATCATGGTTATCAGGTTATGCCGTCGACCGTGGTGGTGGTCTGGCAAGAGCGAAACTTCCTAAGCTGGTTGTGTTTCTCAACGCAATTGTGTAGCCGGTTGTAACGCGGACGTCCAAACTTGTTTTATGCCGTCGACGCCTGCAGGACAGTAGGAATTAAATTGGCACAAAATGCTCCCCTTGCAGTCATAGAGTTTGTAGTGCACAGTCGTGGCAAACGATATCCAACACAGTGAATATATCTGCTCGCTGCAGCAATTACCGGTCACCTCTTTAGAAGTGTCAGCTGCGACAAACGTAACCCCGTGGCCAGGGAATAGAGCCCAATATGGAGGGAGGGGGCGATAGCCAGCCATGGAAGTGTAGGTATAAAGTTACTTTATAAACAATGCAGCAAAGTGACAATGCAGCAAAGTGACAATGCAAAGTGACAAATTACAAGAGGTAATAACCTACACGGCTAGTAGTAGTACAGGGCGAGGCAAAGAGAAGCAAGTCTGAATGAAGAATTATAATGTTTGACACTGGAGGAGGTGTGTGTGGGGGGGGGGGGGACAGCTACGTGCTAGGTCTAACATAGCCGTCCTGCAGGGCCGTTAGCAGTTATTGGTTATTGAAACTCAAGCTTCATATTGAATTTGAAATCCTTTAGGGTACAAGATCATTTTACTGATAGAGGCAGGGCCAGCCAGAGAGAATAGGCAGCGAAAAATAGGGATATTGGTATAAGCCTATAAGCTGATTTTCGGCTATAGGCAAAGTGCAGGAAATGCGTGAATGATGAGTGGGAAGAACCAGTTCCCACCCGAAGGCCGTTGCTTTTTAGTGGAAGCGTGCTCCAGCTCATGTATCATACCATGGAATGTCTGAGTGCTACCTACCACACACGGTGTATGTGCGTAGCAGTGTGCTTCCATGCGTGTAGCTATGCACTAGACCTGTGGCGATGGTCTCACTAATACCAAGGGTACATAACTCTTGCTAATACCAAGGGTACAGTACATTATGGTGATGTACTCTTGCTAATACTCTTATGTGTAGACTACTGTAGTGTCAGTGCGGTATCATAAGTTGCAGTTTATACAGTAACTAATGCTACCGCGTTTGCAGTATGGTGGTAGTGATGTACATGTATCACAATCATGGTGAAATGCAGCCACACGGCCTGCCTGGTCAAGTTCTCAACTCTAATTCCTTTCTTGGTGTGTTTACAAAGAAAGGGTAGACGTTATGTCTCAACTGAAACGTATGGGTTACCGACAAGCGCGGTAACTGCCTCGCAGCTGTCCGCGATGCTTTATCCCAGAATCGTGGCGTCTACGAAAGGATAAACTGCGAAGGACCTAGGTAAGACATGTTGTCGTAGCGTTTCTACCTACCGTACATTAAGGTACAATACCACTACACGCTCTGAGGCGATAAAGGGAATGTGTCCACGTTCGCACCTTCAGAGGCTTCTTGGTGGGCTTCTCTTGCATTCTCACTCTCATCCACACATTCATATTGCATGCTTTTGGCCCACCACTTGATTATTACTGGACCACTGGTGCTAATAGTAATACTGCTCACCTACCCATCCTCCCGATGATATCCTTCTTCCTGATGACATGACGGTCTCCCGAGATTACCGCAATTCTATCATAATTATTCCAAATGACTGCACCGGAGCTGATTCGGAACCTGAGCCTTGCGCAGTAGATCATGGTAGATGCATGAATCGCCATGCCCATCATCCGGCTTGGACTGTAATGCGTGCGGTCACATACTGCTGACATGTAACTTGTTTCAGCTTCAACTAACGACGTGTTACTTCCAAATATTATAGCAATACACTTGTTATACAGTCAGTGTGTGACACATTGATCACCGCTTTGCCTATTGCTACACAGTATCTGTGTTGACTGTCTGTTGCCGTGTTGGTGACCATGTTGGCCCTGTAGTGGGATCGGCTTCACGTCGGTCCGTCACATTCTGGTGGAAAGGTGACAAGGATTAGTATAGGTGTTTGCACAATCACGGTCGGAGAGGTCCCCAGGCGGCTGTACCGGTATTCCAAGCCTAGGCTATGCCCTGTTCTGGCCCGTCTGGGCAAGGTCGTCAGCCCTTCCCACCCCCTTTCCCCACCCCCATTCGCCTTTCGTAGCCGGGGTTGACGACATCCTCTCACACGAGGACTCTTGGTAATGAGATCCCTTGGCAGTGACACTGGTAGCATACGCACGAAGTCCGACTCCTAGCAAATCCCGAGTTCGATTCCTGCGATGGCAGCATGCAGGGAGCATGATTGTGCTGACTCAGTGACTGTGGGGTAATGCATAAGGGAACGACTACCTCTACTGAGTAGACCAGGGATGGCATGGTAGACCTACTGCGTACTCATGGTACTGGACGTAAGTCAGTGAACTAACTAATTACTTCGCCGAAATCTACATGACTCTATGGTCAACCTCTCGACACTCGGAGTGAGGGCGACATGGATTCGCAGCTAACTACGGCTAGTAACGAGTATGGCCTCTAGCGGCTGGCCTGGTCGGTCACGTCTTTAGTAGTTTAGAAGTTTAGTGAGACTTACCGGTACAATCTTAGTCTCACCGATAAACAACTAAAGGCATTGCGTCTGCAACATAACCTGGGCGAGGGCTGGGCATAATCATCCATGTCGCATTGTCGGTGACCTGGCACGAGCGAAACGTCCTATCTGCCGGTTTGTGTTTTAGACAGGTGGTAACGGGGAGGTGTGAACAAAAATAATAATGACACTTTCTTTACTTTTCTTACCTAGTCTGTAGACTACGTACTGTACCAGTACTTCTCTACGTATGTCGCACTTGTTGTGTGCTGTACGGACTCGTATGTACACGTATGCGAATAGCAGTATCTGACTTGATACTGTTGATCGCATAATGTCATTCCACTCATTTCACTGCGAATAGCTCGTTTCATCTCATCCAACATTAATTTTCATTTATTGGCTCTTCACCCCGTTGCAGACTACTGTGTTGGTCGCAAAGCAGTCATGATCGAAACGAGTTTTTGCTAGCTGTCAACTTTGTGGTGGATCGTCCTGGCTAGACCAATGATGGATCGTGAGACAGCTGCTAAACATGGCCTCCCAGCCCCGCTAAGCACTCCAAGCCCTAGTCCAGTCAAGCAATTGGCTACTGTAGTCCCCAATCGTGAATGGTTCCCGCTGCACCCAGCCAGATTCCTGCAGCTAATGAAATCACTGGCTATGGTGTATGTAATGGCTTACCTCATCACACAGCGACATCAGTGGCAGAGCATGATCAGAGGTAAGCGGCATCACTGCGATTTTGTATTTTCTCAGAAGCCTTGCAGGACGGCTCGCTGTGTGTGTCACGATGTATTTGTGTGATTCCAAGACAAGTCCTCCCGTAGTTTGGGGAGCGGCCGTTGGGCGGTTCAATAGCTAATTGAGTCATCTTTCCCAGACTCCTTTTGAG